CTCCTAGAAAACGACCCGATTTGATTTACCAGACTTGGATTTCATACAGTAGATAGAAAAGGACACGGATGAACCTGAGCTCAGACGCGTTAATGGGCCTGAGATGCTTTCAAGGCTCCTGAACTTTCCTTCAGGTTTGACAGGTTCTCCATTTGATGCACGGCGGGACCTCAGGAAGACTGACTGCTGGAACTGAAGGTGGTGGTTACTGGTTTAAATGCTGGAACATTGTAGTTGGTTTGGTTTTTAATTGAATTATACAGCTTCTGTTTCGCATAAAATAATGGAGAAAGTTACAGGATTAAGACCAAGAAGGAGAACCTGTCCTCCTCACAGCTTGAACCGGAGTGAAATCTAACATTTTACTCTGTAGGAATGATGGGAACTCATTTTTCATTTTTTATCTCTCTGTGAAAAAGAGGAATATCTCTGGTAAATGAGAAAATGGCTCCGTCTGTAACTAAAGGTTTATTAAAAGAATGGCTGCTGGTTTTCATCAGTGTGGCTGTTTTTCAGAAGCTGTTGCTAAAGTGTGAAGCATGCAACCTGAAGTCTGTGGTGTAAACTAGATGCACTGTCATCCTCTCTGCAACGCATTGAGAAACACCCTGAAACTGTCGACACCCGTGAACTTACACAGCAGCTCCATTTAAAAGACACTTTTATCTGTTTTCTGCTAAAAGAAGAATCTTCAGGATGTTGCTGAACGGATCCAGCGAGGAACAAGCAGACGTCTGTCCTGCAGATTCCCAGCGTCTCTAAAAGGAGCGGCAGGGACAGAAGAAGCTGAGGAAGATAAGTCCTTAGAGGGAGCATGTGGTTTTCTGATGACGGCTCGCTGTCACTCAAGTGTCCCGCTCTGAGCGCAGATAAAGACACAGCTGAGCAGAATGAGAGGGCTGGAAATGGAGCGGATGTTTGGCTGCTGCTGACAGCCTTACTATGGAGGCTGGAGCAAATCAACCAGAGACCAAACAGGGGAGACGCCTCCTCGCCCTGCAGAGGCCTTACTGCCAGGCTGCAGCTCTCAGTGTGTGCTTCTGATGCCAAACTCTCTGGCTTCTCTAAAAATACAGATTTTGGGAAATCCAGCAAATATTCCTCATGTTTGTTCCAGAGTACAGAAGGTTGACTGCGGCTGAACTTCCTCATTCCTCAGTAACTACAGTAATTACTGCTGTGACCCTGCACTTCCTCTGGGCCGGCTGGAGATATTAACAGTACAGTTTCAAAGCTTCTCAGACTTTGTGTTGTTTGGACACATTTCCTGTGTGTTTAAATTGAACAGGAAGAGCAGGGAGGCGCATTTTTAAACCCTGCCTCTGAAACGGCGTGCCTCAGTCAGAAATGTGCGTTAGGATTAGTCAACAGGGTCTGTCCTCGTTCCAGAGCTGCTCTGTTTGGACAGGACTCCACAGTCCCCTCTGAATCATAGCTGGGAGGATACGGATGTCTGAGATGCCCTTTTATGGCGTTTTAGGGCCTTTAGAGAAACAGGAAGAGGCATCAGGTCATCTGATCTCACAACAAGCTTGTCATTTCAGAGTTCTGGAAGAGTTGGATCATCCTTCAGCAGTGAGGATGATCCAACGTCTGAGTGAATAAAGATCCAGAGTAGAGGAAGGTCTTTCTGCTGCCGGTTGGTCACGTCTGGTTTCTGCAGTAAACGTTCTCACAGGCTTCCTCTGGCCCAGCTGCCGGTTCTCACGTCGCATCAGAGTCTTGATGGTTGTTTTAGGCGCATCACTTCCCTTTTTAAAAATAGTTATTTACAGCTGCAACCAAATTATGTTTTTAACAGATACTCATCAGCTGCTTTAAAGTTCTCTGTTATTTGACTTCATACCGGCCCTTATACTGGCCATTATACGGTTTCGTTTCTCCAATATAAAGATCAGAGCGTTCCTCACTGCATTGAACTGCAGACACCCCTCTGCTCCGATGTGGTCTGGGGGTGTTTGATTTCCGACATTGAAAACACTTCCTGGATGGGAAGCGAAATGTCTGAAAACTTGGAAACAAAGTCCAGTTAATTGTTTTTTAACTTTTTTGGATTGACTGAGAATCTTCACCGGCTAGAAAATAAGATCTAAATCAGTTTTTACAGTGAACTGTTCATTTGCTTTTTAATGAACAATTTTATTATTTTAGATCCAAATGGTTCCGTGTTAAACAGGAGGCGGGACACTAGGTCTGTAGGAGCTGAGCTGTCGGGGGCCCACTGTTTGTGGCCCCCTGAATGACTGTTTCCATCTTGGTCACATTTAAATGTTTCAGAACATTAAAGACATTTAAAGGCAGTTTTTAGATTAAGATTTTGTTTTGGTTAACGTCAATAACAGACGGCCCCTCAGCAGCAGTCCAGTTCTGACTCATTTACAGAGGTCAGGCTACAACATCACAGTAGGTCTAAAGTCAAGCCTTTGACTAGGCCACTCCAAAGTCATGATTTCCTTTTTTCTTCAGCCGTTGTTGGTGTGTTTTGAATCCCTGTGCTGCTGCAGTGAGTCTGCTGCCTGGATGAGGTGATTCTTTCTACCTGGTTCTGTCCTTCTCTGGATTCCATCCAGTCCATTAAACGGGCTCCTCTGGTTGTTTAGCCTCTGTGCTGTTTTGGTTCGGTTCCTGCAGCCTCCTCCATGTCTCCTGGTGTTCGGTATATCGGTCTGTTTCTCACCTGAAAGACTGTTTGGGTTGTTTTTAAATCCAGGAGCTCAAAGTTTGGTTCCAGTATAAACAGCACCGTTAGACTGGGAGACTGGGAGATGTGAAGGACTGGTGGGGTTTAATGGGTGTAAAATATGATTAATGAACTGATGTTTGGATGCTGTGGACGGATGAGGGGCTCCCAGGCTAACTGTTGTGTCTCTGTCTACAGGTGTGAAGAGGGTGGAAGTCCAGAGCAGCAATCATGGTTGCCCTGTCATTGAAAATCGGAGTGGGGAACGTGGTGAAAACGATGCAGTTTGAACCCTCCACCATGGTCTACGACGCCTGCCGCATCATCAGGGAGAGAGTTCCTGAGGCGCAGCTCGGCCAGCGTGAGTACCGCCCCAAACACACACAGGGAGACACAGTGGGAGACACAGTGGGAGACACAGTGGGAGACACAGTGGGAGACACAGTGTGAGGCTGAAACCGGAGCTTTCGGATGTCCGTCCGTCCAAAGATGGACAGGTATTTGTCTCCTGTTAGCAGCCTCTGCAGGCTGAGCACATTTATTCCAGACGTCTCTGCTGCTAACGGCTGTGATGCGGAGGATGAAGCTTTTCCAGCTTTTCCAGTTACATGTCAGCCTCTCTGTCGTTTACCCAATAATTCCTTTATTTACTTAATGTCATCTAATTGCTGCTGTTTGATCTCAGGGAGGAAGGATGATGAAATAATGAACCACAGACTAGTGAGAGATAAGGATGGATGCAGAGTGATGTATTCCTGAGTCCGTCCACATGGATGACGCCTCCTCTCTCTCAGAGCGAGTCACTACTTCCTTTAATAAACGCCTCTTTGAACAGCTGATTGCAGCATTTAGTGCCGCGGCTGTTAAAAGGACCTGAATCAGGAGCAGTTTGATGGTTTAACTGGAAACACAGGCAGCCTGCATGGAGGGAAAACACACATCAGGCTTTCTGTTTTTTATTGAGCATTTATTTAAATAAAAAATTTTTCTGTGAATTTGACATCATTGTTCTTATTTCAGCTTAGATCTAAAAATAAAAATAAGTATATACACTGAAAATTCGATAAATTGAACTAAATATTTTTTAGTGTACCTCATTAGATATATAAACGTGTTACACATGATTGGAATTATTCAATTAAACAATATTTAACTTATAAAACACCAACAGGGATTTATCATCCTGACCCAGTGCTGTCATTTTATTAACCTCATATATGAGCTCCAACAGTCGAAATGGCCACGCCCACCTAGCGTGGTGATGTCATCATCCACAGTTGTAGCGACATCTTTAAGGATGAAGACGCACCTTCCTCTTTACTGACAGCATCTTATGCTAATCGTTAGCATTGCTAACATTAGCCGAACTGATGGCTAATGCTAATTCACAAGGATGTTTGTAATTAGGAAATCAAAGCGTTGTTTTTACTAGCTTGCTTCTTATTAGCCATTCTTTGCTAATCCTGAAGGTAAATCATTTAAAGTAAACTTATAAATGTTATTTATTATGTGAGCAAATTAACCTCAGCATGATCCTCTGATTGGCTTACTGGTCGTCATGACTACAGCTAACTAATATAATCCGTACAGGCAGTGAGTAATAGCCAATTATTAGATGGTGCAGATTATGGTGGATTTAGAGGTGTGTTGATTGAAGAATAAGGATGTATACGCCGCATACCCTGGACTGCACCACTGCTCTGCAGTGAGCAGGACGTTGATGGCCGCCATCGGCCAATCGGGGCCCGTTGTGGTGAGACGGAGCAGGTTCTGGGCAGGAGAACCGCTGAAGGAAACGTTCTTAAACTGATGAGCAGAGTTTTTCTCTATAGCAGAGCAGCACGGTTCTGCGTTTTGATCATCGTCCTCCTCTCATCGTCCTCTCATCGTCCTCCTCTAATCGTCCTCCTCTAATCGTCCTCCTCTCATCGTCCTCCTCTCATCGTCCTCCTCTCATCGTCCTCCTCTCCCCTAACGCCTCATCTGATCAGCATGTTGAGTTACGCTCTCTTACACCAGCTGTTTCAACATCAGCTCTCTGCAGAACGTGCTGCAGCATGTCAGCTATTTCACACTCTTCATACCAGCAGCCTGTCTCTACTGGCCAGTAAACCACAGAGTCCGCTTCTGCTGATGTCCTGGAGGAGGAAAAGCGTTTTCTGTCTGCTCCTGCCTGAGCTCCTTCAGGCTGTTAGGAGAAACGCCATCTCTGCTCCGTCCATCTCTGCTCCGTCCATCCCTGCTCCGTCCATCTCTGCTCCGTCCATCTCTGCTCCGTCCATCCCTGCTCCGTCCATCTCTGCTCCGTCCATCTCTGCTCCGTCCATCTCTGCTCCGTCCATCTCTGCTCCGTCCATCCCTGCTCCGTCCATCCCTGCTCCGTCCATCCCTGCTCCGTCCATCCCTGCTCCGTCCATCTCTGCTCCGTCCATCTCTGCTCCGTCCATCTCTGCTCCGTCCATCCCTGCTCCGTCCATCTCTGCTCCGTCCATCTCTGCTCCGTCCATCTCTGCTCCGTCCATCTCTGCTCCGTCCATCTCTGCTCCGTCCATCCCGTCTCCAGCTTGTGAAATGACTGTAGAAGCTAAAATTGTCTCTCTGAGCTCACCACAACAAGGGCCACCATCTTTTGTCTCGTTTATCTTCACCGCCGCACTGTTGACATGTTTCCCCCCTACCCCAATAATTAGAGCCTCCATTTTGGATCTCATCACTGCGGCTGCGGCGTAACCACAGGCTTTGAAGGTTGCTGCAATCATGCCATTAAATGATCCAGTAATTTAACAAGCAACTTTGTTGGCTGGGATTCAGCAGAACTTCTAAATGTTCTCCATCGTCTCCTGTTAGAAAGCCGTGCTTCTTCATGACTTTGGACGAGAAGGTCAGACTGGAGAAACATTTTCTAACATTTTTCCTTTTTTTTTTTATATACAGCTAAAAAAATAAAGACTGACATAATGGATCTGAATGAATAAAATATTCTAACTGAATACTTTGTACAAAGTAAAATCTGCTGAAAACAAAATCACAGTAAAATCCTCAATGGAATCATGAACCGATGGAGGCCTGGATTTGGATCTAAGTGGATAAAAACCCTCCAGGCTGATCCAGCTCTGATGTAACGTCCCTCAAACAGGTCAGAATTAGACTCAGTATTCTGTACCACGAGTGTGAAAGCATCACCAACATTCAAAAGTGACCAAAGCATCAGACAGAAAGCAGAAGGACTGAGGAGGTGGTCTGTGGTCCCACCTGCAGATTGAATGGGTCTCACTAACTGCTGAGTGGATCATTTGATTTCACAGAAGTTTGATTAAATTAAAGTTATATAGTGTTGTTTATGTGTCCATTTCTGTTTTTGAGCAGTGTATATTTCTGCATATATTTTCCTACAACAAAATGACAGATGAAAGTTTTTCGCTAACTACAGGTTCTGTTTCTAGCTTTTATAATTATGCAACGCTTCATTATAGAAAAAGGTCCTGAGCCTAAATTGAGACATAAAATTTCAGTTGAACTAAAACCACCTGCAGGATAAATCTGTTTCCTCTGTTCAGCGTAACGGAGGCAGCGCCGCAAAAACTTTTAATCTGTCATTTGTTCTTGAATTAAGGAGGCAGGTTAGACACTTTGCCAATGGAACAAGACAATTTACATTTAAAATAAGAAACAATTGAATTGAAGTACATATTATCTAATTAGCTTATTTCAAGAGTAAAAATACTGATTACATTGGCAAATCATCCTATTTACCTACTCATATTAATTCTATTCAGTGTATTTCTATAGCTCCAATTCACATCATGTCATCTCAGGTCACTTTCCAGTTCACCAGATCATCCAGTCAGATTGATTCAAAGTTTTCTATCTAAGGAAAACCAGCTGATTGCATCGACTCATTGACTCTTCAGCAATCCCTCACACTAAGCATGCTTGTAGCGACAGTGGAGAGGAAAAACTCCCTTTGAACAGGAAGAAACCTCCAGCAGAACCAGGCTCTGTGTGAGCGGCCATCTGCTGAGGCCCACTGGGGTTCAAGGAGACAGAAGCAGACATAGAAAAAGAAGCATAGATACAAAAGGTCAACCGGCTCCACAGGCGGCCCCGTCCAGGAAACACACAGCCAGGCAGACGAGCTCCGAGCCAGCTCCCATGTCAGAGGATGAAGAGAGCACATCCAGTTAGTCACAGTCAGAGAAACAGGACTACACTGGAAAACAGGCCAAGCTCCAACATCTAGAAACAAAGGTGTTGATGGCAGCAGCACAGCTGATATTTCTCTCCAGGATGGAGTCACAGCCAAACAGGAACAGACCAGATGAAGCTACTATGAGAAAAAGCAGAGAGAGCAGAAGGTTAGAGATTGAACTAACAGATTCTGCAGAGTGGGAGAATAGAGATAGAATGAAGCAGAATGATGAAAAAGGGGTCCCTATGTCCTCCAGCAGTCTAAGCCTATAGCAGCAGAACTATTATTTAAGGGAAAATGCACTTGATGTGAGACATGTAGACTTATTTCTTGATGTTTTTTGCTGTGTGAATGGAGAGGATCTCACCCAGAGGAAAGGATTCAACTTGTTCGGCTCACTTCTTCACCAACAAACTTAGAGTCTGAAGGAAGGTTTTAGTGTTCAGGATCGTGCAGTTTCTGATGATGGAGCAGACCTCCTTAAAATGATCAGACCTGCAGGATGTCTGCAGTATACTGAAGGATGTTCAGATGAGATCAGGGGAAATGTTCTGTTAACCGACTCCATGATTGATCCAAACCCAGTAAAAGTTGAGTTCTCTTCTATTTAAGGTCAAGATATTACATCTAATAAGCTTCATTGGGACACAGACTAGGAGACTAGGCTCAAGTATGGGGCAATTCCATCATTAGCTTCTTCTCAAGCCCGGTTTCCTTATATTTAGTAACTTTAGAACTTCCAAGACTCAGACATGCAGGCCGTTTGAAAAGGTCAAAGGTCAGCAGGTTCTACACAGATGAGGAAAGAATCTCCTGAGTTTTCATATCTCAATATCTCATATTAAAAGTTGGATGTAATAGGAATTATTCAAAAGTTTTAGATTTTAGTTTTTTGATACTAAAAAGGAATGATTAGATAATTTTGGTCTGCAGACCCCTATATGGTCTGGACTTATATACTACATTCAGTCATTCACTCATTCACTGATGGTGGTGAGCTGCATTATAGCCACAGCTGCCCTGAGGCTCACTGACAGAAACCATCTGACCACCATCAGTAGGCAGTGCGGGTGGAGTGTCTTGCACAAAGACACAACGACACTGAAAGCCGGAGGCGGGGCTCGAACTGACAACCCTCCGCTTGCAGGGCAAACTCCTGCACCCAACACCACTGTCGCCATAGAGCGAGAGGTGGCCCCACTTTGAACACCACTGATCTATAAATATGTCTTTATTTTGAAATTAGTGAGCAGGCGTGTCTGTGTGTTAGATGGCGGTTAGAGCTTAGAGGTATGATCACATCAATTCATTATAATCAGACTTTATGACATCAGCAAACATCATCTCACTGACTCCCCCTGCTGGCTCCACAGCCTCTCATTAGTAGCTGGATGTTTCAGCATCAGGCGTTCACCCAGTTTTCCCGTTTCTCTCTGCAGCCAACGACTACGGGCTGTTCCTGTCTGACGAAGACCCAAAGAAAGGCATCTGGCTGGAGGCGGGGAAAGCCCTGGACTACTACATGCTGAGAAACGGGGTGAGTGACGCCCAGACTGTCCACACTGTGCATCTAATGCTGACCTACCTGAAGCAGGTAGCATCTCCTGCTAACCTATCAGATGCAGAAAGGGTAGCATCTCCCATTAACGTACCTGATTCAGGTAGCATCTCCCGCTAGGTTAGCATATCCCACTATCCTACCAGATGCAGGAAGCTTAGCATCTCCTGCTAACCTACCTGAAGCAGGTAGCATCTCCTGCTAACCTACCAGGTGCAGAAAGGGTAGCATCTCCCATTAACGTACCTGATTCAGGTAGCATCTCCCGCTAGGTTAGCATCTCCCACTAACCTACCTGTTGAAGGAAGGTTAGCATCTCCCGCTAACCTACCTGTTGAAGGAAGGTTAGCATCTCCCACTAACCTACCTGTTGAAGGAAGGTTAGCATCTCCCGCTAACCTACCTGTTGAAGGAAGGTTAGCATCTCCCACTAACCTACCTGTTGAAGGAAGGTTAGCATCTCCTGCTAACCTACCTGTTGAAGGAAGGTTAGCATCTCCCGCTAACCTACCTGTTGCAGGAAGCTTAGCATCTCCTGCTAACCTACCTGAAGCAGGTAGCATCTCCAGCTAACCTACCAGGTGCAGAAAGGGTAGCATCTCCCATTAACGTACCTGATTCAGGTAGCATCTCCCGTTAGGTTAGCATATCCCACTATCCTACCAGATGCAGGAAGGTTAGCAGCTCCCGCTAACCTACCAGGTGCAGAAATGGTAGCATCTCCCATTAACGTACCTGATTCAGGTAGCATCTCCCGCTAGGTTAGCATATCTCACTATCCTACCAGATGCAGGAAGGTTAGCATCTCCCGCTAACCTACCTGTTGAAGGAAGGTTAGCATCTCCCGCTAACCTACCTGTTGAAGGAAGGTTAGCATCTCCCGCTAACCTACCTGTTGAAGGAAGGTTAGCATCTCCCGCTAACCTACCTGTTGAAGGAAGGTTAGCATCTCCCGCTAACCTACCTGTTGAAGGAAGGTTAGCATCTCCCGCTAACCTACCTGTTGCAGGAAGCTTAGCATCTCCTGCTAACCTACCTGAAGCAGGTAGCATCTCCAGCTAACCTACCAGGTGCAGAAAGGGTAGCATCTCCCATTAACGTACCTGATTCAGGTAGCATCTCCCGTTAGGTTAGCATATCCCGCTAACCTACCAGATGCAGGAAGGTTAGCATCTCCCATTAACCTACCTGATTCAAGTAGCATCTCCTGCTAGGTTAGCACCTTCAGCTAACCTACCTGATGCTGTTAGCATCTCCAGCTAACCTGCATCAGGTAGATTAGCAGAAGATGCTAACTTATGTTAGCAGGAGATGCTAACAGCATCAGGTAGGTTAGCTGAAGGTGCTAACCTAGCAGGAGATGCTACCTGCATCAGATAGGTTAGCATCTCACACAGTCAGCAGTCTGTGCTGTAATAGACGCTGCTAAAATAAGAGATGAATGTTTGAAATGACCTCCTCTCCTCTCTCCTTTCCTTCCCTCCTCCCCCTCCTCCCCCACAGGATACCTTGGAGTACAAGAAGAAGCAGAGGCCTCTGAAGATCCGCATGTTAGACGGCACGGTGAAGACCGTGATGGTGGACGACTCCAAAATCGTCAGCGACATGCTCATGACCATCTGTGCCAGAATCGGTCTGTTCCTGTTTGGGTGATCTTCGTCCTGCTTCCACCTCATCTTCATCTTCCTCAAACTAACTGGGAGGTGTTTTTCTCTACCAGGCATAACCAACTATGACGAGTACTCGTTGGTCCGAGATATCGGGGAGGAGAAGAAAGAAGAAAACACAGGGACGCTGAAGAGAGACAAGACTCTCCTAAGAGACGACAAGAAGATGGAGAAGTTGAAGCAGAAGCTGCACACAGACGACGAGTGTAAGACATCATTAACCTTCAAACGCTGATGGTTGGTATGGATCAGGCAGGCTGAGCGGCTCAGATCAGGTGTAGGATGGAGAAGCTGCTCATTCTGATGAAAGGGGTTAGTCCACCTGGTGGACCAGAAGGGTTCTGGACATCCAGCAGCAGGTGGACACTTCATTAACTCAATCTTAATTCACTTAATTCATATTATAAGTGTATTAACCAAACATGTAAACAGAGTTTTATGGGCTCCCAGGACCCTGGGGCCCTAGGTAACTGCCTAGTATTGCCTAATGGTAACCCAACAATTGTGATCAGAGCAATCAGAGCTCTGTGCTCCAAACCCGACATGCTGGAGGACATCTTGGGCTGTCTGGACCTGCTGAGGTCCGAACTGTTGATGATACGACTGTCTTTGGTTTGTTAGTGAACTGGTTGGACCATGGGAGGACGCTGAGGGAGCAGGGTGTAGAGGAGACAGAGATGTTGCTGTTGAGGAGGAAGTTCTTCTACTCGGATCAGAACGTGGACTCCAGAGACCCCGTCCAGCTTAATCTGCTCTATGTGCAGGTAACCGCATGCTTTTCATGATCTTCAGTGACAACCTAGAAGTTCTGGTGTGGTCCGGAGCCGCCTGCCTCTGCATCAGGACATCAGAGGAAAGGTTTTTTGTGAAATGAGCCTCTGTGTTTGTGCTACAGGCTCGCGATGACATCCTAAACGGATCACATCCAGTTTCGTTTGACAAGGCCTGTGAGTTCGCAGGCTATCAGTGCCAGATTCAGTTTGGCGACCACAACGAGTCCAAACACAAGCCTGGATTCCTGGAGTAAGCTCTGCTTTCCGTTCCTCTCACCGTCTCCCTCGGTCAGGACTGCATGAACTAAACGGTTGATCTGCTTTCTCCTCAGTTTGAAGGAGTTCCTGCCCAAAGAATACATCAAAAATAAAGGAGAGAGGAAAATCTTCCAGGTAAGAGACATATTTAGTTGTTCTGGGGCGTTTCTAACTCTGTTACCTCCATGAGTTGAACAAACCTGATGGTATGACAGCCACATAATGGGTCTGCGCTGCTCCTGCCTCTGCAGGCTCATAAAAACTGTCAGAACATGACGGAGATCGAGGCCAAAGTCAGCTACGTCAAGCTCGCCAGGTCTCTGCAAACCTACGGCGTCTCCTTTTTCCTGGTAAAGGTAGGAAGTCCATCCTTCTGTTCCTCTGAATACATCCACAGACAGACTGTTCTTCAGCCACAATGTGTCACCATGTTTATTCACTGGATGCTTTTAGTGGAGAGTTAGAAATATGCAGGTTGATAAAATGGTGAGACGTTGATTAGATGCTGCTGGAGGAGGCGGGACTGGGAGGTCACCATGGACTGGAGTCACGGTTAAACTACAGAACGTCCCTTTATGCTACATTAGCTCTGCTAGCAGCAGCTGGTTTCCATTAAAAGTCAATGGTTGATGCGCATCAAGATGCAGCAAAAGGTCCTGCAGCGTCTAGAATACGATCAAATAAAATGATACAACTGGCATAAAATCAAATACAAACAGCATCAAAATAAAACTCACCGTTACGTTGAATTAGTGGAGCCCTGAGCTTGTTTCTCTGAAACAATCCGGTCCCATCGAGGCGTAATCGGAGAAAATGACAGACGAAGTGTGCTCCTCATGTCCAGTCTGCTCCTTTGTTTTGGTCGCTGTAACCGCAGAAAATCCTGCTTCACAAAGACAGGATGTTATAGATGGGATGTTATAGAGAGGATGTTATAGAGAGGATGTTATAGAGAGGATGTTATAGAGAGGATGTTATAGAGAGGATGTTATAGATGGGATGTTATAGAGAGGATGTTATAGATGGGATGTTATAGATGGGATGTTATAGATGGGATGTTATAGAGAGGATGTTATAGATGGGATGTTATAGATGGGATGTTATAGATGGGATGCTATAGATGGGATGTTATAGATGGGATGTTATAGATGGGATGTTATAGATGGGATGTTATAGATGGGATGTTATAGAGAGGATGTTATAGATGGGATGTTATAGATGGGATGTTATAGATGGGATGTTATAGAGAGGATGTTATAGATGGGATGCTATAGATGGGATGTTATAGATGGGATGTTATAGATGGGATGTTATAGATGGGATGCTATAGATGGGATGTTATAGATGGGATGTTATAGATGGGATGTTATAGATGGGATGTTATAGATGGGATGTTATAGAGAGGATGTTATAGAGAGGATGTTATAGATGGGATGTTATAGATGGGATGTTATAGATGGGATGTTATAGAGAGGATGTTATAGATGGGATGTTATAGAGAGGATGTTATAGATGGGATGTTATAGAGAGGATGTTATAGATGGGATGTTATAGATGGGATGTTATAGATGGGATGTTATAGATGGGATGTTATAGAGAGGATGTTATAGAGAGGATGTTATAGATGGGATGTTATAGATGGGATGTTATAGATGGGATGTTATAGAGAGGATGTTATAGATGGGATGTTATAGAGAGGATGTTATAGAGAGGATGTTATAGAGAGGATGTTATAGAGAGGATGTTATAGAGAGGATGTTATAGATGGGATGTTATAGATGGGATGTTATAGAGAGGATGTTATAGATGGGATGTTATAGAGAGGATGTTATAGAGAGGATGTTATAGAGAGGATGTTATAGAGAGGATGTTATAGAGAGGATGTTATAGATGGGATGTTATAGATGGGATGTTATAGAGAGGATGTTATAGAGAGGATGTTATAGATGGGATGTTATAGATGGGATGTTATAGAGAGGATGTTATAGAGAGGATGTTATAGATGGGATGTTATAGAGAGGATGTTATAGAGAGGATGTTATAGATGGGATGTTATAGATGGGATGTTATAGATGGGATGTTATAGAGAGGATGTTATAGAGAGGATGTTATAGAGAGGATGTTATAGAGAGGATGTTATAGAGAGGATGTTATAGAGAGGATGTTATAGATGGGATGTTATAGATGGGATGCTATAGATGGGATGTTATAGATGGGATGTTATAGATGGGATGTTATAGATGGGATGTTATAGATGGGATGTTATAGAGAGGATGTTATAGATGGGATGTTATAGACGGGATGCTATAGATGGGATGTTATAGATGGGATGTTATAGATGGGATGTTATAGATGGGATGTTATAGATGGGATGTTATAGATGGGATGTTATAGAGAGGATGTTATAGATGGGATGTTATAGATGGGATGTTATAGATGGGATGTTATAGATGGGATGTTATAGATGGGATGTTATAGATGGGATGTTATAGATGGGATGTTATAGAGAGGATGTTATAGATGGGATGTTATAGATGGGATGTTATAGAGAGGATGTTATAGATGGGATGTTATAGACGGGATGTTATAGATGGGATGTTATAGATGGGATGTTATAGATGGGATGTTATAGATGGGATGTTATAGATGGGATGTTATAGATGGGATGTTATAGATGGGATGTTATAGATGGGATGTTATAGATGGGATGCTATAGATGGGATGTTATAGACGGGATGTTATAGATGGGATGTTATAGACGGGATGTTATAGATGGGATGTTATAGATGGGATGTTATAGATGGGATGTTATAGATGGGATGTTATAGATGGGATGTTATAGATGGGATGTTATAGATGGGATTCTATAGATGGGATGCTATAGACGGGATGCTATAGACGGGATGCTATAGACGGGATGTTATAGACGGGATGTTATAGACGGGATGTTATAGACGGGATGTTATAGACGGGATGTTATAGACGGGATGTTATAGACGGGATGCTATAGACGGGATGCTATAGACGGGATGCTATAGACGGGATGCTATAGACGGGATGCTATAGACGGGATGCTATAGACGGGATGCTATAGACGGGATGTTATAGATGGGATGTTATAGATGGGATGTTATAGAGAGGATGTTATAGAGAGGATGTTATAGATGGTAGGGTTGTCACGATACTAAACTTTTCAACTCGATATCGATACTAAGGAAAATATTCGATACTCGATACCATTTTCGATACCACAAGGATAAAAACAAAGACTCCAAAATTCTACGGAAATATTTTCATTAATAAATAAAATACAATAAATAAATACAATAAAGGTTGTATGCTGTGCACAATATTAAGCAAGCTTAATAAAAAACTTCTAAAATTAAAATGAAGTGTTCCTTCTTTGGCTATGCTTTGCACACATAACAATGACACTAGCCAAACCGGTTAAGAAACAAAAATAATTCTCAGCAGCTGCACCTCTTACAAAAAAAAAGTCTGAAACTGAAAAGAGCACAGAATTATTCAATCACACAGTGGTCAGAAAGTGCATTGTCCTCTATTCTGCACTTTAGATGAATGACTGCTTAGGTGCAACTGGTGGTGGCACTGTATCGATACTTTTAAAAACGAGTATTGTATCCGGATACAACATTTCAGTATCGATACTTTTTTGAGTTTCGATACTTTTGACAACCCTAATAGATGGGATGTTATAGATGGGATGTTATAGATGGGATGTTATAGATGGAATGTTATAGATGGGATGTTATAGATGGGATGCTATAGATGGGATGCTATAGATGGGATGTTATAGATGGGATGTTATAGATGGGATGTTATAGATGGGATGTTATAGATGGGATGTTATAGATGGGATGTTATAGATGGGATGCTATAGATGGGATGTTATAGATGGGATGTTATAGATGGGATGTTATAGATGGGATGCTATAGATGGGATGCTATAGATGGGATGTTATAGATGGGATGAGTGTTGACCTGATTTAACCTGTGTCCAGAGGCACAGATGCACCGACTGATGGAACTGGGAGAGAATACCGCAGGTTTTCCAAATAAAACATCAGACTCTGATCGTCTATAAATTATATATATAGTTTTTTCTGTGCGGCCCGGTACCAAATGCCCAATGGACCGGTACCGGTCTGCGGCCCAGTGGTTTAGAGGACTGCTCCTCCTGCTCAGAGCAGGTCTGGGTTTTACTGGACCATCTCTGAGACGTTTGTAGAAATCCTGGCTAACGTTGAGACGCTTGGTTTTAGGGGATTATTAGCATAAATCCAGATGTTTTAGCGATCATAATCTTCCTAAGTAGATGTAAAGCTGAGCAGTGATCATCTGGTTGGAGATAATGACCCCACTGGTTTTTTTCACTGGTTCAGTTCTGCTTTCAGCTGTTTCTCCATCCTGGTCTATAGCAGCTGGATCAGCTGATCTGGACAGTCGGGGGTTAAATGTCCTCCTAATCCGGAGG